AAAAAAAAAAAAAAAATAAGCAAGGAAAGAATTAACGGAATATCGTAAATTTTTCAAACGAGCCATTGTTTCCCTCTTCTATCAAAAACCTTCGTTCTTATTATATATAATTTATTTCAATATCAATTCTCACAGACGTAGTTTGATTAATACACAGAAAGGCAAAGAAGTATTATTAATTCCCACGAGTTTTTCCAAAAAACCAAACTAACAATCAAATCAATTCAAACACGAATATTAAATAATTCCTCTATTAGGAAAAATTTCTATCAAGAGGAACGAGATAATCGATCGAAGAAGAGATACAAGATATAAAGTTACAAAATTTGCGTTAAATTTGTACGGCTCGTTGACGTCAATCCTGTTACCCGAGATGCAATTTCACGAGATACGCAAAGTCCAATACGCAAAGAAAGAATTCGCCGTCCGGTAAAATTCCATTGGAGAAGAGCTCGAACTCTTAGGAGAGGCTTATGACGTCAATCCCCTTATCTCGGTGACGTCGATACACGTTGGAAACCGCCATCTTCTTTTTCAAGACAAAGAAAGTGAAAGAAATTTGCCTCCTCCTCCTCCTCCTCGTCGTCGAGATTATTCCTCGAAAGAAAGTCCCCCCCTTTTTTTTTTTTTTAAAGTTTTCTTTCAACCCCTGATATCCTATTCCCTTTTCAGATATTTTTTCCGGGCTCACGTAGCAACGCCACGTGACTCGTGTCGTGACGGAACACGAAGAGAAAGAGGATGTGGATGAATTGGATACAATCGATTCGACGAGGATTTATTCGTGAAATTCTGTGATTTCTGATGATGTTCGATGAAAAATTTATTGATACCTGTTGTCTCCCCTTTTTAAATGAAATTCCACGTGATCTGTTACGCGGAAACTTGGAGTGCATCGTGGAAAAAAGTGTGTAAAGAATCGGACGATTCGTTATTGGTAAAATTTATTACTTTATATTCTAGTGACTTTCGTGCGACTTGAAAAACTTGGAAGATATATCAGTTTTAATATATATATATATATATATATCATACGATGAATTATTAGTCAAATTATATTAAAAATAATTATTTTCTATAATTTACAGGTACAACTTACAGAATTAGATGAATAAATTTCTCGCAAAAATTGAAATACGAGTGAAAAAGAGATATTTCTCGAACACCAACAGACACGACTTTTTGCTCCTGTTTGGTGTTTTTCCCCTTGGCGAAGTGGATCGTCGCCCCTACATTCTAACCGCGACCCTCGAAAATTCCGCTCGTCGCTCGGATTCTGAAGCTCGATTACAGGCGTCCGTTCGAACGCAATGCGGACCAGCATCAAGGCAAACAACCAACTTTCCTCCCAAAGTTGACCCTGTTGACGTTGAAAACACGAGTGAACGACGCGTCAACTTTAATCTACATAACAAGAACGCTTACTTTATAAAACTGCGTGTATATATCTCGCCACGATTTCACCTCGGCACAAAATTTTTATCTCGTTCTCGAATACGTATATATAAATATATCGGAATTACAAGATGTTAATATATTATTTACGAAATACTTTATGGAGGATTGATTTTAGAAAAGAAAGAAAGAAGAATAGATTTATTTAAATGATTGGCAACATATCGATATCTTGTATATATTAAATATATATATATATATTTATACAAGTAAAATATAAATATTCTTACCATCGTTTCGCATCGATTATAAATTAAGAGCGATTAAAAATACATAGGAAAAAAATTTCACGAAGAATCGTATCGAATATACGTAACGTAATCCTATACTTTATACCAACCAACGCTATATTAATTTTATCCTAATGAAACACGCGTTTTGCCATTTCCTTATAAATATTCCTCTAATATTCCATCGTAAATATTTCCTCGTGAATCAGGCTCCCCTTTTACACGTTGAGCACGGTACGAAATATACGGTACGAGACGCGGGATGAGTCACGCAAACACATATTAGGATCGTTGCCAAAAGATCGATTGATAGGGACAATAAAACTTATGATATAGCGGCCCATACTATTCGCTTGGGTGGAGATCCGTTTGATACTAAATTTATCGATCGATGCCTGCTAAACAAAAACCCGTGTACAAAGGCGGCAAGAAGCGAGAAGTTGAAGAAGTTTCGTCATTTCATTTAAACTTAAAACATTTACCATTTTTTTAAATTTCAAATTCAAAGAAACTCTAATAAGCGTTTATCGTTGCCAATTTAGAATATCGTTCGATTTACTTTTCTCAACGAAAGATCCTTCCATGCTTGTATCGTTTATTCGTTTTAAAAACTAATATATATATATATATAATATATATATATATATATATATATCGCAGGAAAGAAAGAAAGTTTATTAAAAATATTCGAAGTATCATCAGGAATCCGTGACACGACAAAAATTCATCCATTGAAACCGGAATCTTTCATATTTCTATTTTTCCCCAGGAGGAAAATATCCTCTCTCTGTTTCCCCCTCCCTCCGAGTAAAAATTCTTCCGAAATTCCGCCATCGTCCGTGAATACTTGTCAACGATATATCTTAACTTAACACCAAAATCTGTGCGACATCTTCGACATTGTGCGAGACCAAGAGTAAAAAGGGCAAGCCTTGACTCTTAACTCGTTAATTAAATTGGCCATCGTGGCGTTTATCGAATCGCTTTTGCTCGATATTTTGATTGATTCAATTAGGGAACTCGTCTGGCTTCCGAAACGTTTTATTTTATCTCCCTTTTTTTCCTACTCTCTTTTTCTCTCTCATGGTAAATGATAAATAGAATCCCATGCAATATATATACAGAGGAAGGATGTTTTTTGAATCCAAGTATTTGGATCATAAAACCATCTTTTTATCCAAATTTCTCCTTTTGAGGATATTTCTTTTGAGAAATGGTTTAAAAGATTCTCCTTTGGCTAGTTAATTCCATTATTATTCCTTTTGTTAACTCTAATTTCATACAATCCCAAAAATATACAATAAACCAAACCTGCTTTATTTTTCATTCATCTCGCTTTTTCATACGTACATGGTTAATTGTCGAACAATTGAATTGTATCAAAAAGAAAAATATCGATTGTTCTATCGTTCAAAGTTATCTCATTGAAATAACCTTATTATCATTTTCGTTTTCAGATTCGTTTCGATTCGAGAATAAACGAGAAGGGAAAGGAAAAGAAAAAAAAATTTTGCAACCCGGATACTAAACTTCAGTCACGTTTTTTTCCGAATTGAAGATGGTACGGTACTGGCAACTGTTCGGTCGCGATGGAATTTTGGCAGACTGACAACGGCGTCGCTCGTTGTTTTTAGACGCTAAGTCCTCTGTTCGGGTACACAGAAAGCGCACCTCTTTTCGCGATTCCATCCTTCCTCTATCGTCGTGACAACGACAATGTCGTCTGGACAATGCGGATTAAAATGGGAGATGGCAATGTTGGCGGTGGAGATTAGCGAAATGAGTTTGAGGATTCGAAGATTTGGCCACGGTAATCCATCAAGTCGGTGTTGTCCATTCCGGTGCGGGATTGAGATTTGCTTAGAGATATACATATATCCATGAAACGGATAATTCGAAGCTCGTGTATAAGCTTTGATAGAGGTCGAGTGATTAAACGTTCTTCGTTCAAATTACTTAAATGTAATTCTTCAAATTTCGATCGTTGAATTATTTCTGAGAGGGAAGATTATTTTTGTCTTAAGTTTAAGGGAGTTAGAGATTTTTAATGGTGATACGTTTTCAACTTGGATCGAGATTTCATTCTCTATTTCATTTTATCTTTCTATTTAGCCACTTATATTCTTTTCCTTTCTTGTGCCCGAGCTATCCATTGTCTCTCTGTGTGTTGATTCTATTTTTAGAGTCAATTCTATTAGGTTAGGCTTAGCTCTTCAAACTTGCTTCTTTATATATATATATATATACATTTTCTTCTTGATTTTTTATAACACGTTGATTTCCTGTGAAAAATTATTAATTTTCATTTCAGTATTAATTTAATAACACGTGGATGATGATACTTGGAATTTTGAAATTTGGTTGGATATCAAGAGAGAATTATGTGAAAATAACTTTTAGATTAAATTTAACAATAGATCTCAAATCCTCAAGGTCGGTATATAGTTTAAAACTGTCGTTCCTTTGTTATAAAATATTTTTAATTCTAGGTAATGAAGACCTAGGTGAATTCAACGTTATTATAAGGATTGTGATATAATTTAAAAATATTTTAAATTATTATATTGGATATAAATTATATTATTCCAAGTTTCAATATTTTTTCAAATCTTTATACTTGCAACTATCAACTTAAAATAACGATCAACTTAAAAATAAGAAGAAAATCGCCCATTAATAAAGTGTTCAAAGGGACGAAACCATGTCATGAAACTTTGAAACATCTCCTATTTTTGCGCAAAACTTTCAAAGACCATTTTCATAATAATGCCCTCGTCAGAGCTCACCAAGCATAGTCGTTTCATCTAATATTTCTATGTATTTTAAATGCTAATGTCCTTGTATCGAAACTTTCAAAAACTTTTCCTAAATATAGCTCGTTCACAATGTCTATCCACGATATTTAATTATCAATCGACGTTTCAGATTATTCGAATCTGTTAACACATTCAATACGGATAAAGATACGTGAGAATTCTATGATGATTAAATTTACTTTTCCAAGAAATGAATGAAAAAATATAATTATATACACATCATTCATTTTCTTATTCTCCTTTTCTGTATAGTTTAATCGCCGCTGTCAAAGCATTAAAAACTTTGTCAGAGCGTTTTTTATACCATAATGAAACTCACTTTCTGAAATATTTGTGTTTTCTAAACAATTATTCAAATATGAAAGAGGAAAAAAAGTTTTCCACGATAATCTTTTCTTTCGCAAACACGTTTTCGATACAAGTTTTACAATTATTTTTTTATTCAAAAATCAATATTCCTTCAATTTTTATAAAATTGTCGAACGATTCTCGATCTTACCTCTGGCGGTGAGCTTTTTCGTGTTTATGATCTTCGCAGCGAATTCGTGACCAGTGCTCTTCTGAACGCATCGTCGAACCACAGAGAAGGCACCCCTGAAACGAAGAGAGATCGTTAAATTTGCCAACAGGACACAAGATCTCGAGGAGAGAACGATAAAAGTAACGAAAAGCGATACGATTAATCCGTTAATGAACTCGATTCGTAACTGCTCTCCAAACTTTGTGAAACGTGTACGTATGTATGTATATTTGGCCTCCTCGAACGACTGGAATATACTGGCATATCGTCGAAGGCTGGAACTTTGTCGATTACACTATCAATATGATTGTGCATGTGCAATATAGAAATGGTTATTGGATCTTTATCTTAATAATCGATCTTTATCTTAAATAAAAAAGTACAATATATATCTGATTAAAAACGACTTAGAAAGAATGGGAAATCGAGCATCGAAGTAAAGATAGGGGAATGTCGAGAATCGGCTTCGAAACGCAATTGTTTTCTCTGGACAGTGTCTTTTGTCTCTTAAAAATCGGATGACGAGAAAAAAGAAACGGGTGTGGGTGAAAGATGACCCAGATCTACACCGATGCAATTAGCGAGCGAAAAGAATTAAACTTCCGGAACTCGTTATTATTCCAGAAATATTATTTATTCTCGTCGATCTTATTCTTTCACCAATCGAAATTGACGAAGATCGTTCAAAGAATAGACGAGCAAAAAAACTCAAAGAAAAATTAAGAATTCGAAAGAAATGTTTTTTTTTTCTAAGTGAACACAAGAATCTTCGAGAATTATAATAAGAATATTAATGAGTGAGTGAATCAATATTTGTGAAATTGTTTTATCCTATTTTTTCTTCGATACGAAATAATACTTCCACAAACTTATAACTGACTTTATAACTGACAATTTGAAATTGAAATTTTTACGAATTCTCTAGTATATATGACAATCAAATACTTGCATCTCTCATAAAAATTCCATGATAGGTAGATTTTACATCTTCGTAATGCTCAAATATTAACACTGTAGTGATTCAAATATTCCGTACAATATTTCTGGTAAAACTTCCACAATCTTCGACTTATATTATTCATTTCTCCATATTACGTATTATTTGTTCACAAACTCGAAAATCTAAACAAAAGATGAAATAATACATTAAAAAATCTTATCTAAAAATCATATATTAATTTAGAAAATGTGATAAATCTTAACTATAATAATCAAATATTCTAACTTCTAATAATTAACATAGAAAGAGAAATAACGATAAAAGTATCAAGTAAATCCCAAAATCAAAACTGCAAAAGAGAATTGAACGCAAATCAATCAAAAAAAGAATAAAATAGCAAATAAAACATTACCAAGTTAGCTTTTAATGGATTAAACGGTAAATCTAACCTAAAAACTTTCAGCTTCACTTTTCAAACGATTTTTCGAAATATAATAAATATCTTTGCCTACCACCCATCATCCAAAGTAATATCACGATAAAGAAGAGAAGAAAAAAGCAGAAAAAAAAGGAGAAAAGCTTAACAAAAGACGAGAAAAACGTAAGAAAAAAAAAAAAAGAATAAAAGCAACGTAAGGACGAAAGGTCAAGCCTTGCACAACGTTTCACAGAGGGCCGTCGCGTATCCTTCATTGAAGTAGTTCAAGGCAGAGCGCATCGGCGCAAACGCAACCTTAATGTTTCATCCTGCAGCGCCGCGGTTGCTCCTGCGCTTAGTTGATCTGCAAAGGAAAAAGGGCGAGGCCCCCCACCCCTCGGTCCCTATGGTGACCGATCATTACCGGAGATTGCCGATCTATCTGGATCACGTGTCACTGGATTATACTAGTGCCAAAAATGCGATAATACCAACGATTCGTAGCATACTTCAAAACGTTAGAATCTTTTTAGTTATATTATTGCATTTATTATCGAAACGTGGTATATTGCGTTTAAATAACGAATTTCTCAAAATCTGACGCGAACATTAACAATAACGTTTGTTGGCTCGATGTTCTATCATATTCTTGTTTCGAAGGAGCTGTTTAAATAATTTTGCTTAGAAACTTGGTCGCGTTTAATGCGTATATCTTTACTACATGGAAGCCTTTGAGGTTAAGAATGCTCTAAGTGGATGGAACGAGACAAGTTTTATTTGTAGAATGATTACGAGTGTGAATGTTTAAGCGTTTTGTGTAATTAATTAAAGTGAGTTGTGTGTGATATAGGAAATTGCGTCGTTTACTCAGGATTTGGATGTTTTGGTAAAGTATCCTTGCAATTTGGCATAATTTAGTTAAAATCTTGAACGTGATACGATTTTCTCTCTTTTGTTAATTTAAATGCAATGAGAAAATTGATATAAATGGTCTAATTTCTTTTTGTACGTTACAAATCTTCTAAATTAACAGAAAGTTTTTCTAAATTAAAACTTCACTTTGAACTCTTTCGTAAATTGGCTATACATCGGTATAATGTATTATTTGATTCGTCCTAATTTCGCAAACAGTATTTGATCCTTTGATCTCTTAATTCAAAGACATTTTGAAATTTCTCTTATTAACAGATCATATTCAATTAATTTAACATTCATGCTACAAAATATCTTAAATTTTCATTAAAAGAATCCTTTATTGCGTTTTAACGTTTTCTCGATCGTCAATCGAGAGAAGATTCGAGAAATCGAAACATTCTTCGATACGACACGATATCGAAATTTATCGAATATCTATCGAATCTCTTACGAGCTATTCTCGATCAAACATGGCGTCCATCTGTCGTCAATCAAAGTGCAATTTTAACTGTAATTTTCTCATAAAAATCTTTAAACCAAAGTTCGAGAACACGTAATCAAATGTTTGTTTGCATTCGAGCAGATTTGGATTCGATAGAGAATCGGTATGTATCAATTTATTAAATGATATAACGATAAAATATTGTATTTTTTTAAAATGATAATAGTCGAAATATCGTTAAGTATTGTTGTTATTTTTATTAGAAATTAGAATAATTTGGAATACTTTCCTTATTATACAGTAATATTTATAAATTTAATATTTTATAAATAAGAAATTAGTAACTTTCTAATGAAATTGAAATATAAGAAATCTAGAAATTCATATTAAAGTCTATAGCAACGTAAGGACGAATCTTTTGATCGAAGTTCTATTTATATGACACAAATGACAATAAAATAAGCTTAAAAAAGAAAAATTAAAATATCTCTTTCACGAAATGGAACTTCAATATATTCGTTCAAAACATTTTATAATATATACAGACTAATATATTGAATTTCCAAAAATCAAATAATTAACACAAAGTATAAAATTCGTTCGCGTTTATCTTATCATTCTCCATTCGTGAAAAATTGAAAATTCCTTTACACAAGATGGATAATGCGATTACATCCAAGAATCTATCGAAATTCTCGAAAACGGCGGAAGTCGAGATGCAGATGGTTCGACAACCACGAACGAAAGGATAGACGCAATGATTTCGAATGCAGAGCCCAACGAGGAAATATTCTCCTACCTTAGAAATATTCTATTATGCCGCAAAATCAAATTCGAATAGAAACGGCGAAAGATTCGTGGAGAATTGAAACGCGAGACGAGGGCGCGAGTGAAATTTCCTCCATCCTAAAGATAGAAATCCTAACCTGAGGGTGATTCGTTCGGTTTTATCGCGATACGTATCGTGTATTACAATTCCATTCGTCAGATGGATTGGCGGCCTTCGTCCTTTTTTTTTTTTTTTTTTTTTAAATGAATATCCGTCACGTGGACGGAGACCGGCATGGAAAAGTTTTATCGTCTACCCGGGAGACGAGAATGAATAAAGCGAAAATAAAAGGAGGGAAAGAAAAGTCGACCGGCGCTCTTTTTCTCTCTCTCTCTTTTTTTTTTTTTTTTAATCGCTCCGCCATTCTTGCGGCTAACGTCATCGTTATTCGCTCGCCTTGCACAAAGCCTGCACGCTGCAACGGGCAAAGGACACGCTGCTCAACCTATTTTTCCTAAGGCCTCCATTTTTCGTTTTTCTACCGTTGTTTACGTCCCTGGCCAATGTAATAGGCTGAAAGAAATTTGAGGGGAAAAAATACTGGTATAAGCAGCGTGATGAGACAATAAGGGGCTAAACTTCGATTTGATTCAAAGTTTGCATTTTAAAAGAAGATAGAATGAATATTTCTTTTTTTTTTTTTTTTAATTCGTGGTACAATAGAGTTGAGTGTGAAGTAAATCAACTTTCGTCTTAATTACGTCAAGGAAATTCTTCAAAGAGGAGAAGAAAAAGATAATCATTATTATCCTCCTTTGCAATAACAAAAACGAATAAAACGTTATATCAAGGTAACTAGTCTAAAAAAAAAAAAAAGTCTGCAACCCCTTTTATCATCCAAATTAATTTCCTGCATAACGAACAAGAAAGTACGTAGCTTCACCCGTTTACGCGTAATAAATTTTACGAGACTAATTATCTAGCCTACATCCCGCTCGAGCCTCTCCCGCAGCTTACCGTAAAAAAGAAGAAAGTTAAAAAGTAATTAACGAAAAGCACGAGTGCAAGGTGCTTCCACTAAATTTAATCGCAAAGAGGACGAACAACCCTAACCCACCATCCGTTTGCTTATCGCAAAATTCATCTTTTTTTCGCGAAACGCGAGGATATATAATTATATAACAACCCTTAGAAAAATTCTTTAAAAAACAAAGGAAAGAAAAAAAAATCTGAAACTAGAGTCACTCGAAATCCAGATCCAGAAAGAAAGGAAGTAAAAGAAGAAAAAAAAAAAATTGAAAAGGCTAAGAGAAGCCCCTTGTCGGAAGAAGCCACTGACGCAGAAACGGTGGTCGAGTGACAGTGTCGGCCTTGAATCGAGCCGGTTGCTCGGGCGACGTGCAACTAGGGCGTGCAAGAGCAACGATGAGCCTTCAAAGCGAAGTTTCCTGGCGACACACGGTGCACAACGTTCTGACGACACGTCGATGCCTTTAAATACCTTTTACCCCCGTGTGCACGATGGGATAGGCAGGATTCTAGAGAACACGGGGGCAAAGACGACGATAGGAACCGCACAGGGTTATAAAC